AATCCCACAGAACTGCCAAAATCCAGGAGAGAGACCCCAAAAGGCTCCGAAATCCCAAACTGAGGCTGAGGGGGGAAACTGAGGCAGCAACGATGAGAGGGGAGGGGCGATCCCGGGAGGGAGAGATCCGTGTCCGGAGCGGGATTGGGGTGTCGGAGCCGTTCCCGAGCAGTTCCGGGGTCGCATTGTGGAGTCTGTTGGTCTGACTGAGGAGAGGAGACCCCATAAAACAGTTCTGATCCTATAAACCAGTTCCAGACCCTATAAACCAGCTCCAGATCCTAAACCAGCTCCAGATCCTAAACCACGTCCAGGCCGCTCGGTGTGACATTTTCCGTGTTCCCATCATGCACCTGCAGTGACAAAGGGACACCGGATCGGCTTTGGGATCGCAGGAGAGGGATCTGTGGATTTGGGGTTGGGTTTGGGTTGGATTGGGGTTGGGTTTGAGGAGATTCATGGATTTGAGGAATCCCATGGATTTGGGGTTTGGGGTTGGGTTGAGGAGATCCATGGATTTGGGACTGAGGAGATCTGTGGATTTGGGGTTTGGGGTTGGGGTTGAGTGGATTCATGGATTTGAGGTTTGAGGGGATCCACGGATTTGGGGTTTGGGGTTGGGTTGAGGAGACCCATGGATTTGGGGTTCAGGAGTTCCATGGATTTGGCGTTTGGGATTGGGTTGAGGAGATCCATGGATTTGGGACTGAGGAGTTCTATGGATTTGGGATTTGGGGTTGGGGTTGAGTGGATTCATGGATTTGGGGTTTGAGCAGTTCCATGGATTTGGGACTGAGGAGTTCTATGGATTTGGAGTTTCAGGAAATCCATGGATTTGGGGTTGGGGGGATCCATGGATTTGGGGTTGAGGCTCCAAACCCCTCCATCCCTGTCCCCATCCCCCACCCTGGGGTGACCCTCACCTGCTCTGGACGTTTGACCAGGGAGTAAACGGTTCTGGAAGATTCCGTGTCCGGATCTTCCTTGGATCCACCTTTCACCCCATTTGGGGTGCACTGGGGAAAAGGGTTTTTAACGGGGTCGGGAAAGAGATCCCAAATCAGAGACCCCAAATCCAGAGACCCCAAATCCAGAGACCCCAAATCAGAGACCCCAAATCCAGAAATCCCAAATCCAGAGATCCCTTTGTAAAGGCAAGCACTGCCCCATTCCCAGGAGTGCCCCAGGGCATTCTGGGATTGCGGGAATGGGATGGTTTGAAAGTCCCTCCTGACCCCAAAAATTCCATAATTCCCTCACAATTCCAGGATTCCATAATAATTCCAGAATTCTCTAACAATCCCATGATTCCCCCATAATCAAACAATTCCAGAATTCCCGAATTATTCAAGAATTCCCGAATTATTCCAGAATTCCCCAAAAAAATCCCACAATTCCCAGGACTCACCTGCAGGGAAGGCCCCACCTGGGCGTACACCGTCATGGGCTCGGGCGTGGCCTCTGAAAATGGGGGAAAAAATGGGAAATTTGGGGAATTTTGGGATGCAGGGAACCCCCCCAGAGGGAATCCCGACCTCGGGTGAAACCCTGACCCCAAAACCCCTCGGAATTGGGATTTTCTCCTCATCCCATCCTTCCCCGTTTGCTGCGGGATTGGGATCAGTTTCCAGCACCAAGGACAGGGAAAATTCGCTTTTTTTTTGGGTTTAAATCCCAAATTCCCGTTAATTTCTCCTGGAGGTTTGGGATGAAGTTTCCCGGCAAAATTTGGGGGAAAATGGGAATTTGGGAATTGGGGATCGTCCCT